TGGACTTTATCCCTTCGGCTCCTGTCCAGCGAAGGCCATGGAGCCCATCCTGCAGCCCAGCTTGGAAGCCCACCCATCGGTCCCGCAGCCCAGCTTGGAAGCCCATCCATCGGCCCAGTACATGACAAGCTGCTCTGAACTTGCCCATTAATCTCCGTTTTTTTCCTAAAAAAAAAACTCCGGTTTAGGTTTAGGATGTTTTCGTCGCTTGCTTTGTAGAATTGTAGATCAGGTTAAAATCCTGGTCCGTAGTTGAACGAGCAGTAGGTGTCATGTCATGTTATTTATCACCTTGTCATCCAGATACCAGATACCTGAGCATCTCCATTTGCGTATATCTTGTCAGTTGTCATACAGATACTGAACATCTCCATCTGCGTATGAACAGAACTTCCTGCAGAAAAGAAAACTTACATAGGCTTTGGGTGCATCATCAACACCTCATTGCTTAGCAATATCCTATGATGTTGGTTATTGGCACCATAGTATAATCCTCTTCATCCTTCACCCTGTTGATTTGGACTTGTTTAGCTTATAAGCCGTACTTTTTAGTCAACGAACAGTATTTTTCTCTCACACCAAATTAACCAACTATACTTTCAGCCATGACTTATCAGCCAAACAAGCCCAAGGTAAAACAGGGCGCTTCTCTCTTGACAACGACGCCGTAGCATTATCTGACAGCAACTCTTTGCTTCAATCAGACAGCGGCAGACCCGTTCCGTTGTTCCTGTGCTGCAAGCAATCGCCATGAGAGCGACCTTCAAAAGATGATTGTTGCATTCTTCGTCCGAGCTGCACCCTATTAAACAGGCGGCTACATTTGTACTAATTCATATGAAATCATGCCTGCTATAAAGTAATACGGCCTAGTGCAGGCTGGGATCAACGAATGGCATCTGCATCGCGGAGCGAGACTTCGAGGACCGAATCAAAGCCCTCGAGCCGCGACAAACGGCCACCGCGCCATTGACTTGAACGGTCTCGTCCGTGGATTGCCGGACTGCATGTCAGCTACTCTGTGGAGTTTAATCAAGCGGCCATCGCCTCACTGCTTCACAACCTCATTTAGCCAAGGAGCTCACAGAAAAGCAGCCCGTGAGGCCGTGACACCGACACCGAGAGCGAAATGGAACCCCGCCATTTCTGCTGCGCTTTGCTGCTTCTCCTCCTGGGCTTCCGGCGAGCCGGTGCCCAGGACAACACAAACTACACCGTCCCCGCGCAATTCGCCTGTAACGTGTCGCCGCCGTCGTGCGACACGTACGTCGTGTACCGGACGCAGTCCCCGGGGTTCCAGGACCTCGGCAGCATCTCGGACCTCTTCGGCACGAGCCAGGCCCGGATCGCCAGCGCCAACAGTCTCAGCTACGAGGACGGCGTGCTGCAGCCAGGCCAGCCGCTGCTCGTGCCCGTCAGCAGGTGCGGCTGCACGGGCGGCTGGTCCTTCGCCAACGTCACGTACCCGATCCGGCAGGGCGACACCTTCTTCAACCTCGCCAGAGTCTCCTACGAGAACCTCACCGAGTACCAACTCATCCAAAATCTGAACCCGGGGTCGGTACCCACTAGTCTACAGGTCGGGCAGGAGGTCACGGTGCCGCTCTTCTGCCGGTGCCCGGCTCGCGCTGAGCGGAGCAGCTTCATCACCTACATGTGGCAACCAGGGGACACCATGTCCCAGGTGAGCAAGCTGATGAACGCCACCGAGGACGAGATCGCCGAGGCGAACAACGTCACCAGCAGCTCTGCCTCCGCATCCCTCGTGGGGCAGCCGATGCTGATCCCAGTTCAACAGCGGCCGCGGCTTCCGCCGCTGCTCTATGCTGCTAGTGCAGGCGACGGCAAGTCCCGGTGGCGACGTCGGGCTGTCATCATAGGCGCCAGCGTCTCGGGGTCTCTCGTAGCGCTCGCCGCCTTGTTCCTGGCGATCCTGGCGCACCGAAGGTACGGAAAGAAGCCGTCGATGCGCCTGGGCTCACGGTTCGCCGGGAACACCAAGCTTTCTTGGTCCAGGAACCAATACGGCCATGACAGCAGTAATTCCTTCGCTCAACACATGATGAAAGGAGGGAAGCTGCTCACCGGAGTGTCGCAGTTCATCGACAAGCCCATCATCTTCGTGGAAGAGGAGATCATGGAAGCCACGATGAACCTTGACGAGCGGTGCAAGATCGGCAGCACGTACTACCGGGCGAAGCTCGACGGGGAGGTGTTTGCGGTGAAGCCAGCGAAAGGCGACGTGTCGGTGGAGTTGAAGATGATGCAGATGGTCAACCACGCCAACCTGATCAAGCTGGCCGGCATATCCATCGGCGCTGACGGGGACTACGCGTTCCTGGTGTACGAGTTCGCCGAGAAGGGCTCGCTCGACAAGTGGCTGTACCAGAAGCCACCGTCCGCGCTGCCATCGTCGTCGTGCTCCACCGTGGCAACTCTCTCGTGGGGCCAGAGGCTGAGCATCGCGCTGGACGTCGCCAACGGCTTACTCTACATGCACGAGCACACGCAGCCGAGCATGGTGCACGGCGACATCCGCGCGCGGAACATCCTCCTGACGGCGGATTTCAGGGCCAAGATATCAAGCTTCTCCCTGGCCAAGCCAGCCACGGCCGACGCCGCCGCGACGAGCTCCGACGTGTTCGCCTTCGGGCTGCTGCTCCTGGAGCTCCTGTCCGGCAGGAGGGCGATGGAGGCGCGCGTCGGCTCGGAGATCGGCATGCTGTGGAGGGAGATCCGTGGCGTGCTGGACGCCGGCGACAAGAGGGAGGCGAAGCTGACCAAGTGGATGGACCCCGCTCTGGGAAGCGAGTACCACATGGACGCGGCTCTTAGTCTGGCTGCCATGGCGAGGGCCTGCACCGAGGACGACGCGGCGAGGCGGCCGAACATGACCGAGGTCGTGTTCAGCCTCTCCGTGCTGGTGCAGCCGTTGTCAGTGGCCGACGGATTCGAGAAGATGTGGCAACCCAATTCGGACGACAACATTCGGATGGCCAGCTCGGTGTCAGCTCGATAAAATGAAAACAAAACTTCGTTTAACAGATAATTTTGTAAGTAGCTGCTAGTTCCTTGGCTGTAAACTTGCATTGTACACTACTTTACTTTACTTGGACACTGATTTTGCATTGTACGATAGTTCATGTTCAACCTCTAGTGTACAAGTATCTTTCAGTCTTTACGTACTAGTTTCCAAACTGAAGATGACAAATGATACTAGTAGTATGTGTGCAAATTTGAAATCCAGGGTTGAGCTACCATTTGTCATCTTCAGTTTGGGAAACTCACAAGGAACAACGGAGGAAAGTACAATTGTCATGCAGCCTGTTCGGACAGCCTGTATTCGACTTATAAGCCTTGGCTTATCAGCCAACAAACAATATTTTTCTTTCACACCAAAACCAGCAGAACTTTCAGCCATGGCTTATAAGCCAATCCAGCCGAAACGAACAGGCTCCATAAAAGGAGTGATAACGCGTTTTAAGCACCAGTGATGCAGTGAAGGATTTAGGAGTTGGTAGTGTCCTTCCGTAAAATTATAAATTCAACTTTTTTAAAAAAAGTTATGAAACAATTATAAGTTTATTTTTTAAAAAAGTTTTAAATTTAAGTAAATATGTAAAAATATATGGCAATTTTATGATTTCCAAATAAGTATTATCATATTAATCATGGAATATATTTTAATAGTATACCTACAGTCATAACTCATAAGTATTAATAATACTTTTTATAAACTTAGTTAAACTAAGGGGTTGCTTGGCTCTTGGCGGTGCATCACCTCAGCTTTCCTACTACGTCAGTGCGAGCAAGGAGAAGCTCGCTCAGGCGAGCAGATTTGGCTTCCCCATGAAAGCCAGCCAAATTTTGCTCATACAATCATTGAAATTTTAGGCGAGAGAACCAAACATATACCATCGCTTTCCGTCCTCACTCGGCAAGGCATAATAGTGCTTAGCGAAGGAAACTAGCAGCTTTAAAGAAAGTTTGACTCAGTCAAAGTTAAAATTGATTTTTTTAGGATGGAGGTAGTAGAGTGCAAGTATAGCATCTTCCAGCTAATGGCTGAACCTCTAATAAAAAATAGCTCTTCGTTCTAACTTATAAGTCATTTCTGGTTTTTCTAGGTATGTACATAGTTTTTTTTAATGTAAACATGATGTGTATTTAGTTTTTTTTATAAAGAGATTTGTGTACTAAAGACCGATAAGGAATTCGGCCCATACCTGAAAAGCAGAATGACGGCAATTAGCCGGTGCGGCCAGGAGCTGCAGGGGCCGGTCTTTTTTTTTTGTTTTTTTGTTTTGAGGGGACAAGGGCCGGTCAAGTGTCTCACCGGGGCGCGACAGCCATCAGCCATGGATAAACGGCCCGACTCTATCTGCCAAACCAGGATGATTGGGCCAACCGCGAGCAGGCTGCTGTTCCCGGCCATCTCGTGCTAGGCTTACTGAGCTTTGTTTGACCCAATAGGATGGTCAGGAGCCCATTATTCACAGGCTGTTTTCGGCTCCCTTTCTTTTCCGCCCCCACTTTTCTTCAACGATTTCCATTTTTTTTTGTCAACATGGCTACCAAAGCAGAGGTGCAGAGCTGCTTCCAGTCTGGTGCGGATACTCCGGCTAAACAAAAGCGCCACGACCCACGCTACGCCTGAAAACTTTGCACCGATTTATCTCAGCCACTGCCACCTACGTTTAGGCGTACATGAGGTGCCCACTGCCCACGTCTCCACGACCACGGCGCTTGCGCGCTGGCCGTGCCTTCCTCCCGATTCTCAACGAACTCCGACGTTTCCTCCGGGGTTCCCACCTAATCGCCATCTCCCTTGCGTCCAGTTACCCAGATCAACAGAAGTACACGCCTGCTATATATACAAAATCAGATTTACTGCTTGCACATTCCTCTTCCAGCTGCAGCTAGTTCCATCATACATTGTCCACGACTGTCATTGCTGATTCTTCTTCTCGGCGAGTCCTAGCTCCGATCAGCCCGTTTCCATGGGAGCCATTCGATTTGCAAGCCTTCTACTCCTTGCCGGTACATTCGCAAACTCATGTGCTGTATTCATACTGCAAAATGCCATAGGTAGCGCTCGTGCTGATGTCTGCATATATGCAGGGGCAATTTGGTTACAGGCGAAGTTTGGTGCCGAGGCAGCCGGCACGACGGTGTTCACGCTGCACAACAACTGCACCCAGACGATCTGGCCGGCCACATTGTCCGGGAACAGCGCGGCGGCCGTCGGGGGCGGGGGCTTCGAGCTGTCGCCCGACGCCACGGTCTCGTTCCCGGCCCCAGCAGGCTGGTCGGGCCGCCTCTGGGCGCGCACGGGCTGCGTCGCGTCGCCGTCCCCGTCCCCGTCCTCCCCCTCCCAGCTCTCGTGCGCCACGGGCGACTGCAGCGGCGCCGCGAGCTGCTCCCTCGGCGGGGCGCCGCCCGTCACGCTGGCGGAGTTCACCCTGGGCGGCGCCGACGGCAAGGACTTCTACGACGTGAGCCTGGTGGACGGGTACAACGTCGGCGTCGGCGTGGCGGCGACGGGCGCCAGGGTGAACCACGCGACGTGCGGGTACGCCGGCTGCGTCGGGGACGTGAACGCGCTGTGCCCGCCCGAGCTGCAGATGTCCGGGACGAATAAGGCCGCGGCGGGAGGGGGAGGGAAAGGGGAGGGGGCGCCGACGGTGGCGTGCCGGAGCGCGTGCGAGGCGTTCGGGACGGCCGAGTACTGCTGCACGGGCGCGCACGGCGGGCCGAGCACCTGCGGGCCGACCAAGTACTCGAGGCTGTTCAAGGCGGCGTGCCCCGCGGCCTACAGCTACGCGTACGACGACCCCACCAGCACCTTCACCTGCGGCACCGGCGCGCAGTACCTCGTCACCTTCTGCCCGGGCCACCAGTAGTGGGCGGAGTTGTGGCCGTGCCCGTGTGCGACGCGACCGGCACAAACTGCAGTTGCCAGTGCCCGTTGATCATTTTGTTCATCTTATTATCTCAAAAAAATGCTTGTAATTTGCATCTGCTACTAGGACTTAGAAGAACATAGAATTTGGGGCTTGACGAACTCTTGTTTTATGCTTGTGTGTCTCGACATGTTTTCACGCCATCCATGCACACGCGCGTACACGGCGCACGTACACCACGGCCTTGGCGCACCTGATGTGACGAAAACGATCGAAAAAAGTGTGTTCCGAATTCCCAACAATGACACAAGCCATTAGGATCGTAATCCTAATTTGCTGAGTGCTTGGTACGTTTCTTCTTCAATCAACACGCGTGTGAGATTGTGAGTCAGGGTGTGTGCCACACGTTAGTTAACTTTCCGTTCTGATGAGACTTTCTTCTAGTACAAAATAGCTTGTCCTCCTGAATCGACGCGGCGAGTTGTTGCTTCACGACTTGACGGGGAGTCGACCATGCCACGCCACGTTTATCCCATGCGCCCCCCGGCACAAGCCAAGCGACCTCCGGGCCGACGCGCTGCTACCTATTGTACATGGCTGACGTGCCTACACGCGTCGGGGTCGCCGAGAGGAACGAGCCCCTTCCCCTTCCGCAGGGCGTTGTAGCGGTGGACGTTGAACCCGCGCGCGCGCATGAGGCGGCGCTGCTTGGACGCGAAGCGGCTCCGGAAGAAGCCCTCGAAGGACGGCTCCGTGGCGGTGCGCATGAAGAAGGCGTAGCCGGACATGAAGTAGAGCGACGTGACGTAGAAGCACACCGGCTCCATCACGTCCCACGACAGCTCCCAGAAGGTGAGCCGCATGAACCCCAGCGTCTGCGTCGCCAGCAGGCCCAGCCCGCACCACAGCTCGCGCCGCACCGCCGCGGCCGCGTCCGCGTCGATCGCCGCCTTCTGCGACTCCATGGCCTCCAGCTCGCGCTTGCGCGCCTCGCTCCCGTCTCCGGCGCTCGGCGCCTGCTGCAGCTGCTGTTTCCCCGGGAGGATGCTTCCGATGGCCTTCGCGACCTGAACGACACAATGAGAGATCAGAGACGCGTAAAAGTGTAAGGTGCCTGCTGGCTGCTCTGCTCTCTGACTACTCTGTCTACCCACTTCTTGGGTGTTACTAGCACAGCACGTCAGCACGTACCATGTCGGGGCGGAGGAAGACGACGTCGCCGAGGACGATGACGCCGCCGGACTCGTCGAGCGCACGGCCCAGCCTGCGGCCGCCCTCGACGCCGCCGGCAATGTCGACGCAGAGCGCGGCGAATTCCGAGCCGGACACGACGGTCTGGGCGTTGGACCTCAGCCTCGCCCGCGCCACCTCCATCTCGGCCGCCCTCGCCACCTTCCTCGCCTGCTCCACCGTCACGCCCGCATGCTCCGGCGGCGGCCGCGTCGTCGTGCTCACGGGAGGGAGAAGCCCGTCGAGCTGGAGGCGGTGGAAGAGGTGGTCGCCGACGGGGAGGGCGGGGAAGCAGTGCGCCGGGAGCGGGACGGTCGCCGTGGCGTACCCGACCGCGGTCGGCTTCGGCCGCAGGAATGCGAGCGTCGGGCAGTCGTTCACGGCCGGCAGAGACCGCCGTGCCGGGGGATGGGGAGCGGGAGGCGTGGGAATGGCCGCGCCCGCGTCGCTAGCGGCCGCGTTCTTGCCTGCCCATAGGCACCGTGCCATTGTTCTGTGGAACGCCATTTGTGTTTGCCTCTCTGACACGAGCTCTAATGCTCTATTTGTAGTTTGGTTTAGAAGAATGGTTTTGTGTTACGCGACAGAAGTGGCGCGACGTGTCTGGCCGATGGAGCGAGGTGGGATGGACAGGGGTGCTATTTATACCTGGGACGCTGAACGCTGGCCAAAGTCTCGTGTTGTGCCACCGAGGTAGTACTCGCAACGGTTTGAAAAATAAACTAATGCACGACGGCCAAAAGAACAAAAACTGAACCTTGGGAGAACGTGGCAGGCATCCATTCATCGTTCAAGTGGACACTCAATTTTTCACCGGGGTCCGTTTACATATCTTAATTTGAATGTGTTCCTTGCGGGAATATATCTCAAAGCAAATCTAAATATTTTTAAGGATATTTTGGATCTATCTAGCTTTTATAAGCCATTTTTTTACGATCACACAATACAAACGCATGCACACTAATAGCTAGGTGGAGTGTAATAATAGGTTTCCATAAGTTGGCCAGGGCGTGCAAGCGTGCTCGTTCGCCGGCGTACAAGCGAGGCCCTTCGCCGGCGTGCAAGCCTTCATCCTCGGTGGCATGTCGCCCTAGCCGGAGCGCCTCTAGGGAACATCGCCCTGATGGTCCGAGGCAACCCAGCTTATCGCCAGAATGTCACGCCGCGACAGGTCAGACGCCCACAACATCATCGCATTGTCATGTGCCGCGGTCGACCGCGCCGTCATCGTCACCACAACAGCACGACAACAGCAGCGTGCCGGTTTCACCACCTCTGGGTGTCATTGATAACCGTCCCAAGGTTGAGTCTTCGTCGTCTAGAGGATCGTGGATCTCGCCGAGTCTGGAGCGGACCTCCCCCTTGTCCTCGTCGCACTCATTGGTGGAGACCAGCCTGCCGTCACGCCGGAGGACCTCCAGGCACACCTTTCCTCGAGGTTCCGTGTGTCTGTGGGCACGGTCGGGGTCTATGCTTGGCTCGAGGCCCCCTTTGCACGCGAGTGTCAGCAGGACGTCCACTCTAGCGTCGCTATGCAGGGTGGCGGACAAGCGGTGCACCCTGAGCTTGAGCTCACAGTGGACCGTTGCTCGGAGGTTCAGCATTGGGACTTCGATCCCATGTTGGTTGAGGTGAAGGCATGTCAGCCAAAAGCCACTTCAGGCAGGTCTCATGGGCCATGCAGTGTCGGAGGTGGCCCAGACGGTGGACCTGCGCCTTTTAAGCCCAGACGAGTGCGGCTTGGGCCAAACCTCACCAAGGCTCTCACTCGTGGAGCCGGAGCAGGCTGGGAGATCCCCCCCCCCGGTCCAGGTCGACTTCCTCGCCGTCTAGGAAGGTGCAGACGGAGGTGGCTCAGCCATTCCGGCTGCTGATGGCAGAGCACCGGACGCCACGGCCGTAACGTCGACCGAGGACTTCATCGTTGCATTCAAGAAGCCGCTCACGATGCCTGTCTTGTCGTCGCCTCCTCGACTGCGGCTAACCCGGGCTGCCAGAGCGCGGGCGGGGGAGCTGGATGACTCGAAGCTCATTCCCAAGAGGAGCACTAGGCTTGCCGCCAAAAGTGGGCATAGGGAACAGAAGCCGGAGGCTTAGGCGCGGAAGGTGATGATGAAACGTCTGAGACTCGAGGTGGAGACTGAGCTACCTGACGAGGCCTCCTTTGAGGAATTCCAGACCGCCTTCGCCCTCCCCCTGTCGACGTCGACGTGGGAAGCCATGCAGGTTCTCTTCCCGGGCAGGAACCAACGAGCATAGTCGCTCGCTTTTGTCTTGCCGATTTGGTCGCAAAACACCTTTCTTGTGTAATTTTCTATTAGTGAATCCAGTAGCTAGGTGGCAAGGTGTGCGTCGTGTCATGAAGGCTCCTCGCTTGCGTGATCGCGCACGGTTGTACTGATAATTATTTTTCTCTTAATGAAAAACGGGTGAATGTCCCAGAAAAAATAAGTTGGATGTTATAAAGTTTGACTCTGTACATTAGCTAGAGTAATTTTTGGTACCTTTCAATTAGTTCTATGTGATCCAAGCATAAATCTGTCGTGCCTCCGAGCTGATGTGATAAGCAGTGGGGATAGCTCAAACACCACACCTATAGCTCCTTAAAAAAAGAAAAATGAACGACACAATTTTATTCTCGATTATTAGACCCTACATTAAATGGACACTTTTTGCAACGAACATAGACGCATTTTTTATACAGGAGCACACACACAAAAGCTAAAGAAATCTCTTAAATTTACATATAAATTACCCACCTTTAACATTATTAACATAGCATAAAGTAACCCAAAACTTGCATCTAAATTACTTACCTTTTATATTATAAAATATACAATACTCCTAAAATTATGCACTTCTACCTTGTTTTGGGCTTTGCTGTGGCACTCCGAAATAACTATAGACGTTGGTCAAGGTGGTTATTATTGCATATTACTTCCTAAGAGATCATATTAGGAGAAATATATATTTATATCTATTTTTATTATGAGAAATGAAAAAAAGAAAATATCAATCAATTAGACATACACACATGCATACTATATATGGATATGTACGGATGTTTATTTAACGTGACATGTAATTTTTTTTTTACATGATGGATCTTTTTATGTGTTGTAATTTTTCCCAATATTAGTGTTATGTCAACATGAGTTGTAATTTTTTTCTAGAATGTAACATATGTAGATGTGTAGGTCTCATGTGAGTTGTAAGATTTTTTTTGAATGTAACATATGTAGAGGCGTAGGACTTCTGTTTTTTTTTTAAATAACCAAAGGTATACGCGACCTGTGAGACAATGCAAGCCAGTACATGCAAGAATGGACAAGTACTGGTGGTGCATGTGTGGGAGTCCATGTCTAGACGCGGAATTCTTTTTTATCCGGAGTAGCAACGTAGTTCTAATTTGACTTTTTTTTTCTTTCGTTTGTTATTTTTAGCAAGCCGTAACGGCGAGAAAGTTACAGTCTGTTTGATTTGCATCATGGAAGCAATCTGCGATGAAGGCTGCTGTTTGGTTCATGTCATGAAATCATTCTGGCCCTACTTGTCAACTTCCGCAGGTCATTAACGATGGACAGACTCATTCCTCGAAAAGTCTCGAACGACTCCATGCCATTCAGAGTGAGATGGATCTCTAAACCAAACAGGCTGTTATTATAGCCCTCCACCTGACCGCCATTGCGAAGAAGTCAGAACACCAATGTCAAATCTTAGGTACGTAGGTTTGTTTGGGTGTTGGACAGGACCGTTTGGTCAAGAAGAAC